TATTATTGGAAAATACATATTCTTAATCGTGCCCAAATCATCGATGATGCGTCTTACTTCTTTTTACAAAGAGAACTCAGTTATAAATTGTTTTGGAATCTTACAAGGTTCGTAACACAAGACGCGAATTTTGTCACATGGTATCCTATGATTAAAGTTTTCGAATCCTTTGCTTGCTTATATCCGCTTGGATATGGTTATGAAATAACGGTAAGTAAAAATAGATTTCGACGAAAAAGAGTTACATTTTACACACTGCATATTAAATAAATAAAACAAATAGTGTTAAGCTTAAGTTTAACAATTTTTTAGAGAAACATGAAAAACAGAATAAATGAACTTCTTACAAAAATTGGATACACTGAAAAACCGACAGATCACACTCTTACTATATATTTGAGAGAAGAAGCTGTAAAATGGGCATGTATACTCAATGTTTCTGAGTGCCAAAAAGTAGCTACTTCGAAATTCAACAAGGAGCTTCAAAATTCTGTAGAAAACAAGTAAGCCGCTATACCACCATAGTATCTAATTAGAATGTTGATGCATTTGTGCATTATGCTGGTTTCATATTATTTCATCATTAAAAAATCGAAATTCCAGCGAATTTATAGTAAAAAATATTTTTCTTGATGCAGAAATTTGACAGGGAAGAAATGGATATACTGTAATAGTTTAAGAACTGCGAACTACACTATTTGGTACACGATATGGCAGAAATGGAAGGCAACGTCTGATGAAAGTTATATAGAATACCTAACTTGCTCTGAAAATTATGATATTATTTGCAACTTTTTAATACTATTGGAAAAAATTCCGTCTAATGATAGGAAATGGACCACTAAACGTGCTAATGCATTTCTTTCTACTGTTGCCAAACATGCAAAAAGAGAGGAAGTAAAAACTTGTCTTTTAAATTTTGTAAGATATTAGTTTCAGTTCAAATAGGTAATAACGTTTTCTTGTAACAATACAGAGTGTCCCGATAAAATGCATACAGATATTATTCTTATATATAAATTGACGAGTAAAATGGACAGACGTTAACTTGTTGTTCTGTTGGTTACCTACAGTTAACAAATGTTCAAAGTAATCATCAGCATCAATGCATTGTTGATGTGTAACAGAGCGACATATGCACTATATTTTTTCTAGCAAAATAGCAACGCAGGCATTTTCAATTTCTCAGGCCTTGCAGTGCTCTTGGTGTTGTGGCGTATATAGTGTTCCTTCGAGTACCCTAAGCAAATGTCCAGTGGTGTTAAGTCAGGAGATCGAGATGCACACTTCACACTTCCTGTTCGTCCATCTCCTGAAAAAGTGACATCAAGAAAATTTCTCACATCGGTTCGATAACGTGGTAATGCATACTCCTGAAAGTAACAATTTTGTTTTAGATCATTAAGAGCTGGTATGATTTCGTCTCGCGAAAAAGTGCCTATGCTACTATTCTGCTAGAAATAATATAATGCGTATGTGGCTCTGTTGTACATCGTTGTCACCAATGCATTGGTGCAGATGATGATCATTTTGAACATTTGTAACATTATGGTAATTGCCAATGCAACAATAAGTTAACGTCTGTCTTACTTGTAAAAATGTATGGTAACTATCATTTAAATTGTTAAAATATATTATAAAATGTATATTTATTTTATTGGGACATGCTGTATATCTCTGAATTTATAAAATATTTCTTAATCATTCATGTATATTATAATAACTAATCATGAATATTTGTTCCATTTGTTAAACTTATCGATCTTTATTTTTCTTTTGTAGAACAAATGACATAATTGCAACATTAATTGTAATTATTACACACTCCGAAATTCACATGGCAAAGGTATATTTTCTCAATTTTATTCTAACACACTCATTTCTTGATATCTAAATATAACAATAATTTATATCTACATATATAATTTGTTACATACATAATATATCTAATTTAATTACAATGTACATTGTAAATTATGTGCTGCCAAACTGCAGATGTGTGAGAGATTTGTATTCGTTGACATTATTGAATAAATTTGTTTCAGGTAAATATATTCGCAGAAAAGCACTATGAAATACCAATAATTCAAGCCATTGAAAGTAAAATAAGGAAACGAAGATTAGAATACGGAAGACTAATCAGTAACTACGGGTACTATTTTAGTAACATCAAAAAGACATAAATAGCGAAATATCTGAGTCAAGATAAAAGACTAATTTTCACTTGTTGCTCGCATATGACCATATATCGATAATTATTATAATCTCTTATTTAGTTTTTATCAATTAATATCTGAATATACAAAACTATTTAATTTTTGTTCTGAACCATTTCTGTTATCTGAATATAATTATTATGCAGGTATTTAACTTTTTTAATGTATAAAGTATTAGTAACCGAATTATTAATTAAAGAAATACACAAAAAAATGCAGAAACACCTAATAATAATTTAATAGCCAATTTTTTTTACAGAATTTTTATTTTCTATTTTATTCTGTAATACATATCGTCTATTGATAAGTATGGCATGCGGAGAGTGAACGTTTCTTAAACGCTGTTTACATGGCATAACGTTCTATCAGTCATCAATATCTCTCTCAGTGTTCGATGTATGTTTGATGTAGAAACATAGCGAATAGATTTATATATCTCTTGACATTCATAATTTGAAGCGGTGTAAAGTGCATTAATCTCACAAAATTGCGCGACGCGACGAACTCTTCTAATTTAATTAATATATGTGGGTGAGTAAGCAACAACAAAATATTCTACTTTGAAAATATAGAAGAATACATATAAATCACAAATATAGCTACAGTTTCCCGAAAGCATATATGTCAACAGTTATCATAAATTGAATAGAAACGTATTGGTTTGATATTTCTAAAATCATTAGTCATATTTTCCAATTTCGAATATATTGGACGATATTTTGCGTTGTTTTAGTATATTTCTGCGGGAAAAATAAACTATAAAATAATTAAAAAACGATCAATTTCTTTTGTTAAAAAAGAATGCACATGTATATAATTATATATGATTAAAATATCCGTTTATGTGTAAATTCCGTTTGATTCAAAAGAAATCTGAGACATTACATTAAAAAACATACAAATAAATTTATATTTCAATCAGCCACAATAGATTAATGATCACTCACATAATTTATATCCAGCATAAAAGAGCATAAAAATAAAATCTAGTATTCGTCTTATCTATATAAAAAATATATTGCGCTTGAAGTCTAGTTGTTT